CTTGAGCCGATCCTAATATTGGATTTCGACTCGCGCACTCGCACGATCTGTGCAAAACAAGTTTAGCCTGAATCCTAAACCCTTTTTGCCACAGGCCTCCTTGTCCAGCAGCCCAGTCTAAGCCCAGACTGCTACTGGCTACCACCCCTAAACCCTAAACCCTAAACTTCCCTTTTTGCAACTGGCCTGCTGCGACTCTGCCAGGACGAACACCCATTTTTTGAACCCAGACTCTGCCAATCAACGAACACCCCTAAACCCTAAACCCTAAACCACCATTCCTGGCCTCAGCCCTTAGCTCCCGATGTTCATCTTCAAGCTCTGCAGCAAGACGCTGAAACTCCAGCTCCTCTTGCACAACGGATTTAGGGTTTAGGGTTTAGGTTTAGGGTTACTATCAGGGTTGTTATAAGGGTTACGCTCTCACAACTAGGACATGCCAGGCGAGGTTCCATAGGTGCAGGTCGCATTGAAACTATGCTGACGCTTTGCCCAAAACGGTTTTAGGGTTTAAGGTTTGGGGCTTGCGCTCTCGCAACTCGGACTCCGCCAGACGAGCCGATAGGGGTTTAGGATTGATGGCTTAGCTACTAAACCCTGAACCCTCCACCCTCTTCGATACTGGACTCAAGCCTAGCCGCTAGCCAGACAACGACCTGCAAGCATCTTGACACTGAGGCCGACACCCAAGAACCCTAAACCCCAAACCAATGGGTGGTGACCGCTGCAAGGTCGTCTGCATGCCATGCAAATTCCAACAAAGTCCTCCAGCTCATCATCTCCAAGCGTCGCTTCCTCAGCCCCTGGCAATTTGAAAGAAAAATGGATAGTTCTCTAAAGTGGGGGGGGGGTCCGTTTTTGGGTGCCCGACATGGTACGACACGCTTAAAAACACGACCCTAATAAACGGGACCCTGATCTGGAATAACAGCCCAAGTGCAACCAGAGGCAAGGCAGGGCGTGTGCCTCCCCCGCTGCTCTTCCCTTTGCCCTTTGCCTTTCCTTTGCCGGAACCTGACTGAACTGGCTTGTCTGCCCTGCATGACCTAAACGTATATAGTATATAATATATAATGTTAAATATATGTTATAACATATAACATGTAATATATAATATACCATATATAATATATAACATATAATATAGAATATATAACATACGGTTTGCAGGGTGCAGGATCGACAGCTGAAGAAGGCTCTAGGGGCAAGGCCTGTAGAGCTGGCGGTCTGCGGCTGAGCTGCAGATGCCTGGCCTGCCTGGTCTACCGGTTTTTTTCCCTCTCGCATGGCTGAGGATCTATGCCGACAAGCGAGGTCTACCGGTTAAGGTTTAGGGTTTTGGGTTTTTTAAGGGCCTTTTTCCGTCTGCTAGATCCTAGCTCAGGAATCTGCACAGCAGAAGGGTTTAGGGTTTAGGGTCTACCATGCAAAATTGGCGCTTGAACTTGTTCTCTCGGACTCTCGGACAATCCTCAAGACGGTTTGCCTGGCTGTTCCGACACGGACGGAGTGGTACAAGTAGGTCTAGGGTGTACTTCGTCGAACGAGACATGAGGATGTCGTACTGGGAAGTAGCTGCCATCACTGGGACTATGTCACCATCATGGCCAGTGATCATGAGAACGTCTTCCAGTGTCCAGCCTGCCTCACAGGCATCACAGACACCATCCTGTCGGCAGCGCCAGCGGTATTGAAAGTGCGTCGTGCACCACCTGAATCAGGGGAAGTTTCGAAGTTCCGGGTAGGGAGAAGCATCCTACAGCATGCATATACCTCTATCAATCTGTCTGGCGCTCTCTGTCCATGTTCGTCTGTGTGCTGCATACATGCATGTGGTCATGTGTGTATGTACATATGCGTGTATGTGTATGTATCTTTGTAATCTATAATTTATCTATCCATCTGTCTAATTACCTACCTACCTGCCCACCTACCTACCTACCTGCCTTACCCACCCATCCCCGCCCACCCTCCCACCCACTCACAAGTACTTACCTACCCTCCTACGTGCGCAGGCTGCATCAACATGTGCCATGTGTTTTCTGGCGCGTTAGGTGGATAGGTAAGTAGATAGGTAGGTGGGTAGTAGGTGGGTAGGAACCCTAAACCCTAAACAGGTAGGTCTTTAAATGGGCAGGTAGAGCCCATCTTCAAGAGCAAAGTGTGATGTCTGGTACCCTCGGCCCGGTACCCAGAGCTGAGCACAGGGCACTCCGTCGATGGCAGAGTCCGCAGTGGCGGAAATGCTGCCCCTGACAGTATCAGATATCAGACAAGAGCTGCTGAATCTTCTGTATGTTATATTACATTATACTATACTATATTATATTATAGTATATTATATTATAGTATTTTCTATTATAGTATTTTCTATTATAGTATATTATATTATATTATATTATATTCGAGAATTCAGCAAAGCGTCGGCTTTGGGGCCATCTTCGAAGCCGCAGCGGCTGCAGCAGTTTTGGCTGCGGCCTTTGCAGCAGTTTCAGGCGTTCTCCCTAAACCCTGAAACCCTGAAACCCTAGACTCCCTAAACCCTTTTGCATCCACTAAACCCGAAAACCCTAAACCCTAAAACTCCAAACGCTAGACTCTCTAAACCCTAAATCCTAAAACCCTAAACCCTAAAACCCTAAACTACTCATGGTCAAGACCTGCCTCGGCGCGGTCGACGAGCAGCGGCGAGGCTCTTGCACTGCCTGCGTGCGACGTGCGATCGACAACGACCGCGCCAGGAAACAGCAACTTTGCAATTGTGGATCTCTACTCTATTCTCTTCTCCAATAATGACCAAGCTCCAAAAAGTTCAATCTATAAATTTACAGACCAAGCATACAAAACCCAAAAGCTTCAAGTTCTCCCTCTGAGAAACGGTTCCTGCCCTTCCTGCCCGAAACGAGAGACGCTTTCAACGCGGCTCGGAGTTTCTGCCGCGCCGCTGCTGGCCGTGGGCATCACCGCGGCGTCGTTGGGCTCGCGTGGAGCTCTGGGCCCTTGGATCGGAAGGTCATAATGTTGTACTATACTATGTTATATCGGGTTATGGTATGTTAAGTTGTAATTACTATATTATTGTATGTTATATATATATAATGTTATATTGTATGCTATATCCTGTTATATGATAATGTATTATATTCACCTTCTTCCATCAAAGCCAAGCCGTAGCCTTCACCCTAAGCCCTTCGCCGTCCACCCCATGTCCCCCATAGCAAAGTCTTACATATTTTAGGGTTTATATGGTTTAGGGATTCGTACCTAGGCCAAGGTACCGGAAGTGGACGACGCGGATGCAGCTTGTGATCCGATCCGGACCTTCCCAGCGACGGAGGACGAGTTGCTATGCTGCTTCCAAGGGGAACGGCTGTGTCGGGCGGCGATAGAACACCCATGAACAGTTCCGCTGCCCCCTGCAGGATGGTTTTGTACGTTACCGCAGGGATCAAGGTGGCGAATAAAATGCTAGCGCTGAGTCTTCAGGGCTTCTGCATGGGGCGCATGTGTGACTACCCGCTACTAGTACCGCGATGACTGGCGACGGCTGCTCCTGCTCCCGTGACATCGTCTGTCTGACATGCCGATGTCCTGTGTTTGGCGTAGATTGCAACTGTCAGCAGTGCTTGCGGAGAACAACCTCAACTGCGTCTTTAAAATACTATAATAATACACTACATGATGCAGTAGAATAGACTCTTTTGTACTCTGATACGTATATATATATATACATACTTACTATCACACACCATTTGGGGTCCGTTGCCGGGCCTCCTCCACTTGCAGCGTCGCTTGGCTCGACGAGGCTTGCCCTGGGTGGGGGGGGGCAGTTACCCGTGGCATCAAGTGATATACTATAGTTATATTATGGCATTATGTTATGTTATGATGCTATATTAGACTATACTGGATTAGAATATATTATATCATATTATATTACATTATGCTATATTATATTATATTATATTATATTATATTATATTATATTATATTATATTATATTATATTATATTATATTATATTATGTTATGTTAAATTATAATATCGTATATTATGTTATATTATATTAAAATATGGTATATTTTAGTATGTTATATTATATCATATTATAATATGTACCGTAGTAAATTTTGCGACAACATTTTAACTAGATCATATGTCATTATACTGTACTGTCTTGTATTGTGTCGTGTTGTATTCTATTGTGTTTGAGTATATCCTACTATGTTACGTTATATTGTATTGTACTATAGTACTCTATTGCTCTTGCTGCTGCTCCACATTCTCCTACTATGGCTACTACTACCAATATTGCTTTTTGTAGTGTGATGGTAGCACAGACAGAAGCAGCAACGGAAGCCAAGTATGCGGCAAGAAGAAAAGAGTGGCAGTCACAGTCGCAACAGCGGCAGCTGACGTATGGTTTGGATACACAACAACCAACAGACAACAGGATTGCTTGACAAAAATCAGTTCTGACAAAAGTAGCCGAAAACACATGCGAGTTTCGCACCAGAACCTGTGAATCATAATAGCCACCTGGATCCACTTGGGACAAATCGCAGTGCGAGACACCTCCTCGTGCCGGTCGCGGCAAAATGGAGGAGAATGGTTCTGTCTCAGCTGCTTGCTGCGCCACCTGACAAGTCGTAGCTCGGGACGAGTTTCTGAAATTACTTTATGCTGACAATCACACAACAAGATCCCCGACAAGGTACCAGCAGGGCTTGTACAACAAGCATACTCGGAGTGTCAGTGAAAGCCAAAGGAAGCAGGGAGGGAGAGAGAGAGAGAGAGAGAGAGAGACAGACAGAGTTAGTTAGAGAAGGACTGACGGTGCCCATGATACCGGTAATTAATGAGGAAGTTGTCAGTGCTTTCTGTCTGTGTGTGTGTGTGTGCCTTCATGCTGGCATCGTATGACAGCTGTTGTTCTTCAACGCGCTTATACATGGATGCATGCCACACGTGGAAGAGCTGCCACAGTGTGCCTCCTTTGCGTTCGTTGGCCCCGGGCTTTCGCACTCTGGCACATCTTGCACGAAGTCTACCTGCACCGGCTGCTTAACTGCACCAAACTGGTTGTCTACCCGGAGTCCGACATCATGGCCGGAACGGTCAACCTTCCGGGATGCCACGCGAAACTCCAGACGGACCACGAAATCGCACACCCAATGCACCGGGGCGAGGCAAACGGGTGTCGAGTCAACGGTCCTTTGCTCCCCCGCCACGACCACTTCGTAGCAAAATGGCGTGGCTGCATTTGGAGTTCAACGTGGGGCCAGGCCTTCGTTGACGATGGGCTCAGAGGTGCAGGAACTCCGTCAGCACGGCCCAGCCCCGAGGAGGCACTGCCACTGCCCTCTTGCAGAAGTGCTTCGTTTGCGACTGCATTGCCCTCCGGGCCCGGGCTTGGCGAAATGCTTGAAGACTTGAAGATTCTCTGTTCCTGCTCCTGCTGATCCCGGTCCTGAGGATCCTCTTTAGGATCTTCCTCCTCTTCCTTGTCCTCTGCGTCTTGCTCCCCTGCATCTTCATCCTCTTCCATCTGCAGCACCTCGGATTCCATGCTTTTCCGGGCTGCCTCTCACAGTTCTAATCGTCTTCGAAACTAACACAAGCTAAACTCATGTCCCACTAGCCTCTCCATCCAAGGCACCTCCTCCACATGCGACGGCGCACTCAGACTCTGCGGCGGAGTGCATGCGAGGCGGCCTGGGAGACCGAGGATGCCGAGAAAAGACATCGGGAGATGCAAGCTAAGCAGCTGAAACTAATATAGTACCCTAAATAGTAGGATCCTCATTATAAGGACCCCAAAATAAGGTACCCCTAATTTTCGGAAAGTCCCAACTGCCCCTCTTGGAAGTGCACCAGCCACGAAGCAACGAGAGCTTGTAATACAGTATGGATCCATCGGCAGGCACTCCTCACGCTCTCTCACTTAACAGGACATGCAGTAGACTTTTGCTGCAGATCCACCTGCCGCATCAGAAGACGGCGGCGACCGGCTCCAAGCCATCTCCACTTCCTCCTGCATCCGCAGCAGCGGGGTTACAAAGTCGAGTCCTTGCATTACCCTGTGCTTTAGTGTATTATGGTAAAGTATAGTATGGTATAGTAGAGTATAGTACAGTATCAAATGACATGTTACATATACTATATTGAACTACATTCTGCTAGTTCAGTGCCTCTTCGAGCACGTCGACTTCGAGCTCCGGCGGTTCGCATCTTAGCCGCTTCGATGGGCGAAGTTCAGGAGCCAGCTCCTGTGAGATCGCGGCAGATGCCGGCAGGAACTTCTTCGATTCAGAATCCTAAGAACTATCACTCCGAAACACTTCAATCCCAAGTTTGTAACAAAAAGGTCTGCACACATTGGTGAAGCTCCGACTTTGTCATGTTCTTTTCGTGAACGATGCTCCGTCTGCCGCCTGGTCCTCCACATCAGGGGAGGATGGTTCGGCCGCCTGCCAAAGCTTGCCACACTATGTGCAACATGCAATATGGGATATGTACAGGTATATTATATATATATAGAGAGAGAGAGAGAAAGACATATATTATATACTACATATCATATATATATATATATCTATCTATCTATCTCTCTCTCTCTCTCTCATACCGTATATCACACATCTCATAATGCACCTCATATGCTATAAAAGTCATATACTAAACAGTCTCTAAAACACCCCGGAGAGCAGAAGACCTCGTCGAAATACGCGGATCCGAAGAGATCTTCTGCGTTCTCCGGATCTTCCTCCATGGGATCACGGGCGACCTGCCGAAAATAGCGACGGGAAGCCTTTTAGGGATTTTTAGGGTTTAGGGTTTAGGGCATAGTGAAAAGAAGAGACAGCTCAGAAATCACTGTCACGTCTACGTCGATTTTGGTTGTATGTTGAAACGTTCATGATGATCAAGCCTTATACTGGCAGACTAACATATGTGTCGAAGAAGCTGTTCGCAGCTCTTGCCGGGAACTGCAGTGCCACGTTGCCCTACTTACCAACGACAGTTCTGTCAAGTTGCAGCTCACGCATCCAGCCGACACCTTGCAACTGCCGTCATCAGCCAGCTTGTCCAAAGTCCGAAAAAGTGGGCTTCAGACATATTTCTGCAAGACAACCTCGACCAGCTCATCAGGCACACCCGCTCTGCGCAGCATCAACGGCCAAGCGGACATGACAACACAAGAAGGCAAATTAAAGTAAGTGTCAGCAAACAGATCCAACGTGTGACGTCAACTCTCAAGCAACTTCCAACCACCGGCGCCATGCATGCAACGACGCCACACTTCAATGTAATCTGTCAACCTCAACACTTCAATATCAAGCATCGGCTCGCCAAAGCATGAATCGAGCTCTGATGCAAATAAAGCTTCAACCAAAATAACCGAATTTGTATAGCCCAGTAGCACCTGTACAGCACGGCGGCTGCACAACAAAACACCAAGAAAGCATTGCAGCCACCCAAGAAGAACACGACAAGGCAGCATTGCAGCCTTTTGCAGCCACCAAGCCACACATGGCCTTGCACTCACCCAAAAAAGAGAAAAGTGGAAGCATTGCAGCAACCACATCCCAAGCATTGCAGCTATTCCAAACAGACATGTGGCGATGCGGCTACCCCGACGGCAACTTAGCCGCAGCCAGCGTAGCAGCCACCACGTATCCCAAGTGCCAGCATAGCGACCGGCTTCTCTGATGCCCTTTCGCAAGTGCAATTTCTCGGTGGAAACACATCTCGTGCTGATGTTTCTACAGGCGTGTCGACCATATCTCTGCATCATAATCAACAGCAACTTGGACTCCCTGCACCATTTATACTTACACTCTACAGCCACTGTGCCCGCAGCACGTGAAGCCTTGCAAGGAAGGATGCGTATCCAAAACACGATAGGACACAAGCAGCTTGGCCGTAGGGCGGCACACCAGGCCCCAACATTGTGCATTGAAGCAAAGATCCCTTTCTGCGACTAGCACAGCTTTGTGATACCAGGCAGTGTTATTGTTAACCACCCACGGTCCATCCAAACACAAATCCTCATCATCACTGTCGCAACAGGAACCAGAATCGCTCTCGCATGCACGCGGCCTTTTTCCCGCCGGCATCCTCGTCTTCCGAGAACTCCTTTTTCGATCCAGGTCCGCACTTCTCGGCAAAAATGCACTCCGTAACATGCTCATCATCCCCACCCTGGACCTGCACAACAGCAACGTCCCACGTATGGCCCACGTAGATGGGCAGTACTTACCCAGACGCAGAGACACAAAACGCACCCCTACCAATCAAAAGTTCCCGAACGGAGCCAAATATCTCACACGCGACAGCTCACGAAACAACGCCCCAAGGCGTAGCAGAAGCATCCTGTTTGCAGCGCCACGACCAGCCGTATAAGCAATCTTTGTCACATACCACAGAAGCAAAATCGTCACTTCAACCAAACTACCTGCCAAAAATCACACGAAGACATAGAATCAGCCATAAGTCATCCTCCGCAGCAGAAGAGCAAGCCTTCTCCACGTTCTGGACAATCTCGTGGGAAAGCGGAATTGCTTCACGTGTATGGCCGTTCTGTCGCTTGTCCCGGGAAGACCAAGCACGAACCAACGGGCGATCAAGCGACTGCTGCAAACCCGTCAACTCAAGCTTCCACGCAACAGAACGCATCGCCGACAAAACAACAATCCCTTTGCTTACTAGACCTTTGCCCCGGTCCATACAAGCACCACTGGCTAGAGCTTCAAGGAAGTCGAGGACCTGAGCAAGGCTAGGACTGAGGAGCTCCCCTTGACCATCCCCGCGGGAGACGAACTTCCCATCCACAGGCCGCATCCACTCAGATGTCTCCGAAGAGTGGATGCAGCCGTGTTTTCAATCAACCGCTCCAAACGAAGCTCCTTAATGCCAGCGAGGTCAAAGCAGCTCGACTGCAAACACCCACGAGCAACAATGGCCAAGGCGAATCCTCAAGTCGGCGACGTGAAGTTGCTCCACGGCTGCACCCAAACCACACCGGCCAGCACCGTCCAAAGCAGAAGCAGCAACTTTAGCGGGCCACTCTCGGTGCCGGCTCCACGACCTTCAACAGGACACAGCTGCTCTTCAGCAATAGTTCGGACACGGACTTCTGCGAGAAATGCGCACGGCAGGATTAGCCAAGGCACCAGTTTGCAAAGACACGCGAGAACATGCGTGGGAAGGGTTGGCCCTAACACTCCCTGGTGGAGCGGCCGGTTGCTGTGTGAACTTTAAATGTCCACGGCATTGCAACAGAAAGAAGACAGCAACGAAAGACCCATGTAGCAATTTCTGCAGTGAGAAGGCTGCAGTGGCGAGTATATGGTGCCGCGCAAGCTGACGCTATACGCCCGCATACCATGTAATCATCCAACTCTACCGTCCGTGGCTATTGCCACCATGGCTGAACTCGGTCGGAATCAGCACTCGCGACATCAGTGTTCCCGAGAAGGAGCTGCAGCAGCAGCAGTGCTACCACAGCAGCGGGAGCACTTGCACTTACAAAGACGGTGCAGACACAATTATGCCAGAAGCACATGAGGTGCAGCCCTGATACCGCGAACATCATGAAGAATCATGAAGCCTGTAATATGCCGTGCGTCTGCTTCGGCAGAAGACCGGTCTGGCCTCCGCTGGCTGCTCCATGTCGGCCTCATCAGCCGAGGGGGCCTGCTCCACCCAGGAAGAGGGAGTTGCAGCCCATGGAACACGGCTCAGAAGGACCAAGTCTTCCTCATACTGCTCGAAAGAAGACGATTTCGAAATGACTGCTGACCACTGATAGTGACTTCATACCAGACAATTACTTCTTGTGAGGCCGCCCCGGGTGGCTGCAGTACTGCTGTTCGTCAAGCCACTGCTCTCTTCAGTCTCTTCATGGCATTGCTGTGTTCAGAACTTGCCCTAGCTTCCCTTTTGCCTCCAGCCACGACATCGCCTCCTCTGCGTCGCCGCTGCCTCCAGCGAGCAGTGCAGGCTATGAAAAAAGGCTGATTTGGCAAGTGAAAGCGAGCCTATCTGCAAATGCATTCTTGGCTTTTCCACCGTGTCTTGCCGTCGCCAAAGGTGGCCCCATTGATGCGCGCAACGTCGCGCTTGGCCACAGGACCTACGCATGTCCGACACCACATAAGAGCGGACTGCCAGCTGCAGCATAGCAGGCACAACAAGAGTGGCAGTGCCTCGGGGCTAGCGGCTAAACTTAGACGACGGCTAACTTGCAAGCAGCAGCTGGGTGTCAGTAACTCGAACCATGCCCAACTTATCATAAACTGTCACTCACATCCACCGGCCCCGAAGCGACTGCGCGCTGCTTCCCAGCTGATTGGCTTGTCACTAGCCAGGTCATGCAGGCAGGCTTCTGCACGCTCCTCTAATTAAACAGTTGTGTCGAATTTTCTACGGAACGTCCTGTTGTCTGATGCCAAAACTTCGCATACCCGCCTGCCGGCTGCGTCAAACAGCCAGCCAAGGCTGACAGTCGACACGTGCCAAGACAGCTTCGGAATCATCGTGCGCAGCATTTGGCGCCCACACGTTCAAACGCAGTTCGAGGCGAGAGGAGAGCAGCTGCACCAACCCTAGCTTTGAAGTGTCTCTAAGCGAAGCTCGGTTTCGTACGAATCGGAACTTGTTGATTCATGCCCTCTCTCGATGCGATGGTTACAGAAAGCCTATCCTCACAGACTGTGGCGTGGAACATCATGGAACAGTTGATTCGACCCCAGCTGCAGGTAGCCAAGGATGCGGTCAGTCGCGGAGCTCTTCTACAGCTATGCCCAGGTACTGTCGGTACCAGTGCTTCTGCTGGGCGTTCCCCAGTAGGGCAGCTGATGCTTCCTCGGTACCGCAAAAACACATCTCACATCAGATCCACCATGGTCTTAAGGACGGATACACATCGGTACAGAGATCTGGCATGACGCCTGGAAAAGAAGCACACGCACAACCAACAAAAAAAAAGCGTGGGAATGTGGGAACCCATGGGACTCCGAGATCCTGGGC